CGGAGTTTCGCTCCAGGCTGGAGTGCAATGGCACGACCTCGGCTCATTGCAACCTCTGCCTCCCGGGTTCAGGCTATTCTCCTGCCTCGGCCTCCCGAGTAGCTGGGATATTAGGCATGCACCACCATGTCCAGCTAATTTTTTTTTTTGTATTTTTAGTAGAGACGGGGTTTCACCATGTTGACCAGGATGGTCTCGATCTCTTGATCTCGTGATCCACCCGCCTCGGCCTCCTAAAGTGCTGGGATTACAGGCTTGAGCCACCGCGCCCGGCAATGCAGTTATTTCTTATTGCCAATCAGTGTTACTGCTAACTACTGTCTGTAAGCCCTTTTCCAATCTTTTATGTATAAACTGAGGAAATGAATTGGCAATGAAAGAAAACTGAGCTTGCTAAATCCCTCACCTTGCATACTACATTAAGTCAGTAGCTCTAGCCTGAGGACAGTTGTATTCTGTACAAGGTTCAAGTGCATACATTTTATGGTTTTTTTTAAAACACTACCTTCAAAAAGATCTTGCTGGATTTTGTTTTGGCAAATTCCCAGCTATGTTTTCCTGATTTCTTAGGCTGCCATAATCCTTATTTGAAGAGTATCATTTGTGGGACAATAGAGTAGAAAACAGTCAGTTGGCACAGTATTCAAATTTAGACTTTGGCCATAATATATAAATGAGAGTCTACATTTCATCATCATTTCCATCATAATTTTCTCTAGGTTAAAGTTGAATTTAAAAGACACTACTCCACCTCACAACCAGTAGGATGGCTATTATTCTCCCTACAAAAACCCCAGAATAACAAAATAACAAGCGTTGGTGAGATTATGAAGAAACTGGAACCTTTGTGCACTGTTGGTGGGAATGTAAAATGATATAGCCACTAATTCAAACGGTATGGCAGTTCCTCAAAAATAAAAAATATAATAGTATTATTACATTATCCAGCAATTCCACTTCTGGGTATATAACCAAAATAATTGAAAGCAGAGTCTCAAAAAGATATCTGTATGACCATGTGCATTGCACCATTATTCACAATGGCCAAAAGGTAGAAACAATCCAAGTGTCAATCATCAGACTATATATATATATAAAATTGTGTATATATAATTTAAATTGTATATAGATTTTGTGTACATATAATTTTAATTGTGTGTGAGTATATATATACACACACACACACATACATATAATGAAATATTATTCAGCCTTAAAAAAGGAAAGAAATCCTGACACATGCTTTAAGATGGATGAACCTGAGGACATTATGCTAAGTGAAATAAGCCAGACACAAAAAAGGCAAATACCATATTATTTTACTTATGTGAAGTACTTAGAGTAGTTCAATTCATAAAGACATAAAGCAGAATGGTGGGGGAGAAGAAGAATGAAGACTTTTTGTTTAACAGATACAGAGTTTTAGCTTTGCAAGATACAAAGAGTTCTGGAGATTGGTTGTACAATAACGTGAATATATTTAATAGCACTGAACTACAGCCTAAGAAATGATAAAGATAGTAAATTTAATGTATGTGTATTGTACCATAACTAAATGAAAATACAGAAACTACAGCTTTTGTAACCCTGTTCTGATAATTCTTCAACTTTTAGAGGGTAAAACTCTATGTTTATTCCTTTTTTGGTCCTTTTTGAGATTCTACATTATGTGGATTAAAAACAACTTTTACCTGTGATTTTAAAATATATACATTTAATAAAGAAAACTCTTTGTACCAAGTAAGGCTGGGTTTATAAAAAATTACTATATACTCTTTGGACCTATTTATAACATTTTTAGTAAAAGGTTATATCAATATATTGACTTAAATAGTATATAATTAGCAGCTATAATCCACAAGGATATAATCGATCCTTAAAATTGCCAAACTAAAATTCTATATACATAAAAAGAATACAAAACTAATATACTTAATTTTGGACATTATTATATATTGATTTTTAAAATAGACCTTGGTCCAAATGGATGATGAGGATGCATGTTTATCTTGCATATTTGTGTCAAAAGCAACTAGAGACATAAACACAACTTGAAAAAGCACACCCCATTGTGAATGTGGTTCTGCCACCACTCCACTCTCCAATCACCCATCTTAATCCACTGTGGTCACAACCACAATATTTGAATGATCTCAAAGATGATATTTTCCACTGCCTGATTGCCTTCTAGCAACAAGATGAATAATATGTAAGTCATAGAGAGAAATGGTGGTTCTTCACTCAAATGTTTTCAAGAAAAAAAGCCACAAAGGTTACAGGAAGAACTCTCATTTGGGTATTAGGATTAACATCAACTTTGCTGTGACTGGGAACAAGATTATTGGCCCAGGTATAATGGCTTGAAGAGAGCTGCCTGGGAGGTAGCTTTTGACAACACTAACCTCTCGATGCAAATAATTACACATTTCCATTATTCCTATCCTCAGGCAAATTTACTTAATCAATAAGAATCTTAATTTTATAACTCTAATGCCTCATTCTTCACTTCCTATAAAAACAAAAACTATACATGCTTTTGAAATAGTTCCAGGAATCCTACCTGATTAAAGAGTAGTCTCATTTTAAACTCCATCTCCTTTTTAAAAAGTTTAATGTGAGTAGGCAGTAACCCCAGGATACAAAAATAATTTGCCAACTGAGTTAGTTAGCAAGAAATAATATGAATATTTATCTGTTTTTTCTTGACTTAAAATAGATAAGCAAACATATCTCCTCAGTGAAAGCCATCCAAAGGTAATTTCAAAACTCTCCAAACTGTAAAGAGAAGAAACAGCCAATGAAATGAATTTTCAAACTCAGTTCCAGTACATATTAGTACTTAAAAAAAATATTAGATGCTGGGTGTTTTTCAGGGACACACTTAAATTTGTGATATGAAAAAGAAATGAATTCATTTGTCAGTAAGGGACTTGTGAGGGGGAAATGTGAAAAGAAACAAGTCTATCTTGATATTTTAACTTTATGTTTATTAAATTGGTTTGGAAGTAAACTTTCTTTGTTTCTTAATTCCATCTGCCATGAAGTAAGGACTATAAAATCATTGATAAATGGCTAGAAAGGCTTTCCTTTCACTGTAATGACAGTATATACCCTTATATAAATGCCACTTTAACCCTAGGCACACACAGCATCCCCAAAACACTCCATTTGACTCTTTTTACTTTTCCTGACCTTAATATCTTAGTAGGAAATCTTACTAAAATGAAATATTATTCTGGAAATAGCTAGGTTGATTCTTTTTTTACTTTTGGGCTCTGTGGCAGGTTATAATCCTACCAGACAAAGACAAGAGTCTCATCACACAGTTTAAATAACATGAAACATCAGACAGAAGAGAAGATGATGGATGTTATAATACTGAGATCCAAGAGCAATGTGCACCTAGTGGAAACAGCCATGGCTGGTTCAGAAATTGCTGAGGTCTGCCCCTACCTCAGATGCTTAGCAGGTCTCTACAAATGGCTAATATTTTCTGGGAGTGCCTTGACACTAGCTAAGCTGACAGATAATTACTGACAAACAAATCAACTTAGATTTTTTTTCTTTTTTCTGCAAAGGCAATTGGTTAGGAGCAGATTCTGGAGCCAGACCACTTGGCTCTGAAACTTGTATTCTTTAGCGTTATTTAACTTCTCTGTGCCTCAGTTTCCCTATCTAAAAAGGAGGAATAATAAAATATGATCATAGGATAAAATTGGTTACTATATTTAAAATGTTATGAATAGTGTCTGGAACTTAGTAAGCATTATATGCATTAGCTTTGTGTTGTTAGTTTGTGTTAGTACTCTTGGGAAAGGAGAGCAGAAAGATCATCGTAAATCAGGTTTTGACAACATAATGTAAGATTATGTTTAAGACCTAGCCATTGTGCTGCTCAAGGCGAGGGGTGAGCAAGAGGAAGTCCTGATACTCCTGAAGTTAGATTGGCCCTAGCACTCTGTAGAGCAGCCATTCTTTTTTCACCCAGAAAGCTCTAGTGATTTCAGGATCAAAGAAACGTTAAGAAAAACTGGTAGGAAGATCAAAAAAGAAATAAATGTAGGTGGATGGGGAACAAATATGATTCTGGGTAACACTATTAACTTTCCAAGCATGGGGAGTCCCTCCCTTATCTGGGGTGCAATTATAGCACAAAACAGTAGAGAATATCATTATGTAGCCCAGCTTGGATCCACAAAGAATAGCATAAGTAGGCATGGGTTAATTGCCAGGCATAATGGAGGGATACTCCCTTTACTTTGGTCTTTAAAACTGCTTAGTCCCAAGGTCAACCTGCATTTTAATTCTAGTTCCCTCACAAAACACATATCCAAACTCTTAACTTTCCCTCTTTCTCAGATGTGTTATCACTAAAGTCCTTCAGAAGAGATCTTATGGATAATATATAGCAAAATGGATATTAAGACTATGGTTAAATATGAGACACATACAACCTACCATGACAAAATCATGGAAAAATAGAATATATAAACAGACCAGTTATAAGTAAAGAGATTAAATCAATAATAAAAAGTCTCCCATCAAAGAAAAGCTCAGGACCTGATGGCTTTACTGCTGAATTCTACCAAACAATTAAAGAACCATACCAATCCTTCTTAAACTCCTTCAAAACACTTCTGAACTCATTTTGTGAGGCTAGCATTACGCTGATACTAAAACCAGACAAGGCCATTACAAGAAAAGAAAACTACAGTCCAATATCCCTGATGAACACAAATGCAAAATTCCTCAACAAAATACTAATAAGCCAAATTCAGCATCACATTACAGGAATCATTCATCATGATCAAGTTGAGATTTATCCAAGGATATAAGAACATTCCAATATACAGAAATGAATAAATGTGATACTCCCTATTAACAGAATTATGGCTAAAAACCATATGATCATCTTGGTAGATGCAGAAAAAGTACCTGACAAGATTTGACATCCTTTCACGGTAAAAACTCTCAACAAATTAGGCATAGAAGAAATGTACCTCAACACAATAAAAGCCATATATGACAAGCCCACAGTTTACATCACAATGGTGAAGAGTTGAAAGGTCTTCCTCTGAGATCTGGAGCAAGGCAAATATGCCCACTCTCACCACTTCTATTCAATGTAACACTGGAAGTCCTAGAAAGAACAAGCAGACAAGAAAAAATTTTTAAAAGGCATCCAAATCAGAAAGGAAGATGTTAAATTGTCTCTGCTTACAGATGATAAGGCCTCATATCTAAAAAATCCTAAAGACTTCACCAAAAAACTATTAGAACTAATAAACAAGTTCAGTAAAGCTGTGGAATACAAAATCAACATAAAACAATTGTAGTGTTTCCATACACGAATAATGAACTATTCAAAAAAGAAATAAGCTGAGTATGGTAGTTCATGCCTATAATCTCAACACTTTAGTAGGCCAAGGTGAAAGGATCACTTGAGCCCTGGGGTTCAACACCAATCTGGGCAAAATAGCGAGATCCTGTCTCTAAAAATAAAATTTAAAAAAAAGGGTAAAGAAAAAAATTTAAATAAAATTAAATAAAAATAGGAAAAAAAAATCAAGAAAAGTCCACTTACAACAGCTACAAAAAATACTTAGGAATAATTTTAATCAAGGCAGTAAAAGACCTGTACACTGAAGACTATAAGACATTAATAAAAGAAAATTGAAAATACACAAATAAGTGGAAAGATATCCATGTTCATGGATTGAAAGACTTATTATAATATTGCTGAAATGTCCCTACTCCCCAAAGCAATCTAGATTCAATGCAACCCCTTTCAAAATTCCAGTGATAGTTTTTACAGAGATAGAAAAAAAAATCTTAAAATTTTAATGGAGCCCCCAAAAAACCCAAACAGCCAAGGCAATCTCAAGCAAAAGGAACAAAGCCAGAAGCATCACACTATCTGATTTGAAAATCTACTACAAAGCTATAGTAACCAAAACAGCAAGGTGCTGGCATAAAAACAGACACAAAGAACAATGAATCAGAAAACAGAACCCCAAAATAAACCCACATATTATGGTCAATGGCTTTTCCACAAAGATGCCAAGAATCCACAATGCGGAAAGGACAGTCTCTTCAATTGTGGAAAAACTGGACGTACACATGAAAAAGAATAAAATTAGACTCTCATCTCACACCCATATACAAAAGTCAACTCCAAATAAATTAAAGACTTAAATGTAAAACTTAAATGGTAAAAATCCTAGAAGCAAACAAAATGAAAAAGCTTCTTGGCTTTAGCAGTGATGTCTTGGATGTGATACCAAAGCACAGGAAAAAGCAAAAATAGACAAGTAGAATTACATCAAACTAAAGCTTCTGCACAGCAAACAAAAAAACTAAAAACAGAGTGAAGATACAAGCTACAGAATGGGAGAAAATGTTTGCAAACCCACACATCTGATAAGAGATTAATATCTAAAATATAGAAGGAACTCATTCAACAGTTAAACAAAAAACCTGATTAAAAAATAAGCAAAGGACCTAAATAGTCATTTCTTGAAAGGAAACTTACAAATGTCCAACAGGTAAGTGAAATATATTCAAAATCCCTAATAATCAGAGAAATGCAAATTCAAACCACATGAGATATCACTTTACACCTGTTAGAATGACTAGTATCAAAAAGACAAAAGATAATAAGTGTTTGTAAGGAAATGGGGAAAAGGGAACTCTTTCATGCTGTTGGTGGGAATGTAAATTATTACAGCCATTATGGAAAATAATGTGGTGGTTCCTCAAAAAGTTAAAAATAAAACTACCATATAATCCAGTTGTCCCACAACTGGTTATATATCCAAAGGACATGAAATCAGTATACCAAAGAAATATCTGCACTCTCATGTTTATTGCTGCACAATAGCCAAGATGTGGATAAAACCTAAGTGTCCATCAATGGATGTTGGATGAAGAAAATGTGATATAGATATAGACACACACACACACACACACACACACACACACACATTCAGCTTTTTAAAAAAATGGCAATCTTGTCATTTACAACAACTTAGATGAACTGTGAAGACATTAAGTAAAATAAGTAGGCACTGAAAGACAGATGCCACAAGATCTCACATACATTTGATATGTAAAAAGCTCAAAATCATAGAAACAGAGCTAAATGGTGTGTACCAGAGGTTGTGGGTGAGGTGTTTGGGATGATATTGCTCAAAGGGCACAAAGCTCCTGTAAGACAGGAAGAAAAAGTTCAAGAGATCTATTGCACATCATGATGACTACTTAGTTTATATTAATATTAGGGTTCGCTGTTGGGGATGTATGGTCTATGGGTTTGGATAAATTTATAATGACATGTGCTCACCACTACAGTATTATACAGAGTACTTTTAGCTTTCTTATTCATTCCTCTCTCCCTTTAACCACTGATGATTTTTCCCCGCTTTGACAGAGTTTCGCTCTTGTCCCCCAGGCTGGAGTGCAATGGCGTGATCTCGGCTCACTGCAACCTCTGCCTCTCAAGTTCAAGTGATTCTCCTGCCTCAGCCTCCTGAGTACCTGGGATTAGGCACGTGCTACTATGCCCGGCTAATTTTTTTATTTTTAGTAGAGGCAGGGTTTCACCAAGTTGGCCAGACTGGTCTTGAACGCCTTACCTCAAATGATCTGCCTGCCTCGGCCTCCCAAAGTGCTTGTATTAAAGGCATGAGCTACTGCACTCAGTCAACCACTGATCCATAATGCCTTTTTCAGAAGTGTCATATAGGTGGAATCAGCCTTTTCAGATTGGCTTCTTTCAACTGGTAATATGCATTTAGGTTTCCTCGTGTTTTTGAATGGTTTGATAGGTCATTTCTTTTTAGCACTGAATAATACCCCATTGTCTGAATGAATGTAATCATTTTTAAAGCTGGTTTCCATTTACCGGATTTTCCTCAAAACAGAATTTGCCACCATAGTTTTAAAAACAGAACATTATCTATCTGTCTATAATATGAGCTACTATATTCACGTGGTTCAAAAATAAAGCATAAAATGGTATATAATTAAAAAACTCCCTCATGCAGTCCCATCTGCTAAGTTCCATGCACACACACAACTGGCAACTCCTCTTTATTAGTTTATCTTTTCTCAGATTATTTTTATGCATACAAAGTCAATGTAAATGTGTATGTCTCTCTATATATTACACACACATACATAAATAAAATTTACCCCCTTTTGCTTATCCACAAATAGTTTATTCTATAAACTGTTCTGTACTTTTCCTTTTTACATAGTAATAGAGTTGAAGATTTTTTTCATATTAATACATAAAACATATTATCATTATTTTTATAACTGTATCTATTGTGTAAATGTACCAGAATTTATGGAACTGGTCCTCTAATAATGAGCATGTGAGTTTATGAAAAATGTAAATTACAATCATGGAATTATTTGTTTATAAGGACCAATGAATTTTGAATGAAAGTAAATAACCTCCTATGGCTAAAATGCTATCAAAGTTACTGTGCTAATTAAGGTATTTAAAATAATAGTTCTACATTCAAAAGTACAAATACATTCTAAAAAAGGCTCTAGCATATTAGTGACAAACTTACATGGTTATACCTGGATTTCAAATTGGAGTTTATTATGAATAATGTTACCCATATAATTCACTCACATGATATGTCAGGAAAATTGTCAGGCTTCAAAAAGGATACCTGGTTTGCCCATGACTGCAATGGGGATTTTTATATTGATGTGAAAGCATTATTGGAAAGCAGAGAGAAAATAATTATTAAGTAGCCCTTAAAAATCTTCACTTTCCTCTAAGACACATGTTGAACAAATGTCTGGGAAAAAATGTCACCTACCAACTAAGAACAATGACTCTTTTCTACTTATTAGAAGATAATTTGAATATCTGCCCATATTCACATAAAGATTTAACCATTACATGTGATGTTTATTCACCTGGTTGGATAAACTAAATGTTGCTTATAATTCATAATTTATTACTTGCAGTAACTGAAAGAGTCACATAGTTAAGTCTGCCAAGTTTTAAACTTGAAAGTCATTTATTCTACTATTGGTCTGTTTTTGGTAATGAGTTAAATAATTAATATTTCTTACCTACAGTCTCTCTAAGACTAAGTCTCTCTTAGCCTCTAAGAATTTAAAACCAACTCTGGGAATCTTTGTGTATTAAAATTCATGAAAAAAATTGGTACAGGTGAAAAAACAACCTATAACCACCTCAACTAGTCACTAGCACCTCTGTTGATAGTGTTTCAACTCTTGGATCAAAAATATTCAAATACTTATAAAACTACTTCTAATTAAAGACAGATAAAAATTATACTAGTAAATGGAGAATATGTTTATGTTGAGATAAGAATATTACTTGATGGTAATTTTTCATATCTCAGAAATATAGGCTATAATCCAATCCTTTAAAGTTTAAAAAATTTAAATTTGTGTATATCCATTTGGATGTTACTTCTGAATATTAGCTCTTCATAAAATACCATGTTACTTTAAATTACATTTTTAAGTCTTTTTACTAAATGTTAATCTTTATAAATGATCTGTGCTTTGGACAGAATTTTGATAGTGAAGCAGTTATTTTCAGCTGCACTCTATAATACTGGAGCAAAATTGTGCCAATTTAATATTCTCTGGAGAATTCAGGTTGACAGTCCCTTAGGGATTTCATTTACTTAAAACCCACTGGATTTTAGTTTTTATATGAATGAGACATAAACATGATAACAATAGTTATCCTACTTTTGCTAACTATAGAAACCCAAACCTGGTAATTATCTATAATTTTTTTCCATATAAAATATCCTTATATATACTCCAGTCTTCTTCAAATACACACACTTAATAAAAACTAACATGTTTTCTCCTGAAGAATATATTTGGGAATCTTAACAAATAAGAATATCCCATTATATAATAAATATTATTTGTGGGATTCTGAATTATGTATAGAATGAGTATGACACAGTTCTGCTCTCAAAGACTTCATAACCTAGCAAATGACACAAATTTGTGAAAAATAAGCACAAAAATATATATTTATGAGAGAATGTTCAGGAATACTGACTATTTTTGTTTCCTAGGGTTGCCATAACAAAGAACCACAAATTGGGTGGTTTAAAACAACAG